AAAAAAAAAAAAAAGAATTTCTCCTGAAATCACTAATCAGAGCATGATGCCTTTCTATCCTCTCCCTAAATTAATTAGATTAACATTTAAAAACACCTAATACCCAATTTGATTCTGCTTGGTACATTCTATCTACTAATTTTTACTTTTAGTAACAATAAAAACAGAGTAAAAATCAAAAATGTTTAAATACATAATATCCTCCTAAATACGTAGTTAAATAATAAATCTAAATAATAAATCTTATAGCATTCTCATTGCCTTTCCCTTCAATATTTTATTACATTTTAAAAATCAATCATTATTAAACATTTCAACATTTTAATTTCTTATTAACTCTTAAGCCATTCTAATTTTCTATTTCTAATACAAATGTTACAATACCATCTTGTGTACCTTGCAGAATCTTTTTAAAGAAAATTTATGCTTTACCCATTATCCCTAAAAAAGATTCCTCTTTTCCCATCTAATTTTAAAACTTTGCGGCTTTTCTCCGCCTTTCCCCTTTCTTTCTTCCCCCACCAAATCTTCCTACCCCCCCTTCTTCTAACCTCTGTCTTGCCGGCATCCCTTCTCTGTTGTATTCCCTTTTTCTCTTGTTTGCTATCATTGTATCTATTTTGCATCATATTTTTCTCTTTCTTAAATGTTTTTTTAGATCTTAAGTCCTTCATTTTCCTCGCTTTCTTCCTTCCTTCTTTCTTAGATGAATTTTGGGATTCATTGAAGATGGCGTCTTCATCTTCTTCTTGTTGTTCTTCTACTTCCATCTGTATTGTCTGTTCATAGTTAACCAACGCCATTTCTAAAAAAAGAAAAGCTTTTTCCATACCATCTTTACAGGCTGCTTTTGTTTGCTCATATTCATCCCTCAGTTCCTCAAAGGAAAAAGCCATTGTAGATCTTTTCTTTTCTTTTTTTCCCTCTTTCTTCTCACACGAACCAAAATATTCCAAAAAAAAAAAAAAAAGACAGTCCCAAAGTCCACAATCCTCAATCAATCCAAGCCAAGTCAAAATTCCCCCTTTCTCTTCCAGAGGTAGTATCAGACAAAGGAAAAAAGAAAATTCAAATCTGTGTTTTGAAGCCTTATTAAGATTTTATTTCTGTTTTCAAATCCTTAAGGCATCTCCTCCAACAAAGTCCAACCAGATAAATATATTTTTTGTCCTCTCCCTTCCGACTTATCCCAAAAAGCTAGTTTTACCTGAAAAAAAAAACAGGTTTCTCAATATCCATTTATTAATTCCGTCGGGGGGGAGAGTAAACTTTCCTTTCAGCACCTCAGAATTGCCGCTTATTTTCTCTTGTGGAAAGAATCACCCAAAAAGCCATCATTTTCAGGAATTAAATTAAATATATCTTAGAGTCCTGGGTCGACCAAGAAGACTTTCACTTTTAAAAACTTTCTCCTCTTCCTCCAGCGCATACTTGCCCAGCTGCCGGCTTCTTTGTGGCGGCCATTACGGACCGCCGCTGCACCGTCTTGGTAAAAGGAGGTTCTGCCGGCTAGGGAGGGGGTCTGCAGCACCCCCAAACCCTTTCCCGGATCCCCCCTACCTTCAGCTGCCCCTGCAGGGCAGCCTTGCTCCGCACCCTTTCGGATCGGAGCTCCAAAAACGGCTAGCGCGGCAGGGATCGCGCAGCTTCGCGAATCCCTACCGCTCGCAAAGCCGACAAACCGGAAAATGGTAATATATTCATCTTGATTGTTGAAATTCTCCCTATTAATGACAGTTGTAGATTTTCCCATTTCGCCAAGTCTAGCGCTATCTGCTGTTTAAGTTTAATATAATTGTTCTCTTTTAATGTACTACATCTTGCTGTCAGATATATCCCCAAATACTTAATCTTATTCGTGACTTGAATTTTCAATAGATCTGCCAATTCTTCCTTTTGTCTTGATAGCATATTCTTTGTCAAAATCTTTGTGTTATCTTTATTTATTTTCAATTCAGCCACCTTGCCATATGCCTCTATCTTTTCCAATAATTTTGGTGCTATTTCTAAAGGGTCTTCTAAGATAAAAACCAAATCATCCGCAAAGGCTTGCAATTTAAATTCTTCCTTTTTAATTTTCATTCCTTTTATACTCTTTTCATCTCTAATATTTCTATTTAACACTTCCAAAGTTAACACAAATAGCAAAGGTGATAGTGGGCACCCTTGTCTTGTTCCTTTTTCTTATATTAATAGAGAGGTCACCAATTTTTTTATTGAAACCGCCTCAGAGTCATGATCTATGAGATGGGCAGCTATATAAATATGATGAGTACATGAAGGGTACAGAGAAAAGTACATTTGATGGATAAGTAATACCATGATAAAGTATTTTAGGATATCATTATCATATATCACAAGTTATTATCATGTAACATTGTCGAACTATTTAGTAAGACTGTATTACTATTATTCTTCTCATCCTTCCTATTACTTATCTCTTCCAACTTATAACTATAACTGTGTTGCTTGTATCTTTACAATTTATATTGTTTTATTTGTTCCCTAGTATGATTTGATTGTTTATCAGTAACCTATGATTATCACTAAGTGTTGTATCTTATGATTCTTGATGAATGTATTTTATTTTTTATTTATGTACACTGAGAGCTTATGCACCACAAATTCCTTGTGTGTCCAATCACATGGCCAATAAAGAATTCTATCCTATCCTATCCTATCCTATTCTATATAGAGATCCGAGACACTTGCCAACTTTAGAACAGTCTGAAGATCTTTCAGTCTTATTTGCAGTAAACCTCAGCTTCCTCCAAAATTTGTATCCCTTAGCTAGCTGAATTAAAACATTTGGATCAATAAATAAAGATCAAGAGTAAAAGAAGTTGAGTCTACCCATCTTATTAAGCTATTGTGGCTAGTTTGGCTTCAGTTTAGAGCAAGGATGTCAAACTAGCAGCGTCATGTTGCCATTACGTAACGTTTCGCGATGGGGTGGGCGTGGCCTGCACGTGACACATCCGGTCTGCGAGTTGCCAGTTTGATACCTTTGGTTTAGAATGTTGTGTGAATCTGACTTTAGCACTGATACGTCAATCTTTATATCTTGGTGTGAGTCAATTACCATTTAGGCCATTATGTAAACTCAGAATCAGTTTCACCTTTTCAAATATCCACTAAGTGTGAGGAGGTTCTGAAGATGAATTAAAATCAGCAGTGGCAATTTTGAAATGATCAACTGGAACATCCTTGCCAGAAGAAATGCACCAAATTTTATCTACCCACACACTTGCAGATCAGTCACATAGGATTGCCAAGTATTCTAATAAAATAATTCCATTTTTATTTGCCAGCTTGCTAGATGTTTGCCTCCCAAAACACCACGGCAATTGGTAAGCTTTATATCTTAGTGCAATGGTTGAATCCAGTCTCAGAATGTGAAAAGTTCGGTACTCATTTTTCATTGATAGACCAGTTGCTGTGTGTCGACACATTGGCAGATGATAATAAGCAGCTGACACACCCCAAAGGATGAGGCCCATAGAAGTGATGCCTCAACTTGTACAAATGAGTCAGTTCAAGAAACCAATGTTGCTGGCCTTGGGGCTATTGATATCACATGATTAGCAGCATAACCCAATATGTGCCTAGTAAGAAATAGAGATTTTTCTATAGGATTGCTGCAGCTCCGTATACAATTTCCTGGAAAAGAATTGAACTCAGTAGAGTTTTATGATTCTGTATAATCTTATGTAGGGTTATAAAGAACTGTGGGACAATTTCACGGCTGATTGTCATTGTTGAGTAAACCAATTGAATATTCATGAAATGAGTGTAAAATAATTATTTATTTTTAGATGATGGTGTCACAGCAGACAACAACATTAAGATTATCCTCTTCTTGTTAAAACCCCAGGAAGAGATGCCTTGGTTCTAAAGCTTTGCTGGCCAGCTCCAGGTTTTGAACATTTTTTTAAAAATGTAAGTAGAAGTTCTTCTGCCCCATAAATTGTGGATGCCTTTTCATTCCACTGAAATGTTTTTCTTTAATTAATCCAAATGGTTAATCAAGTAAAATACCGTAGGATACACCACTTCTTAAAACTGTGTAACAGGAAACAAGAATTGGCATAATACTTCTGGGACAAATGCTGATGTTCAGTAATACTGTACCTTGTCACTAAAATTACAGAGTACCACAGGATTTTGCACCCATGCCAAGAACTGTGGCTTTATGCTCCACGTGCATATTTCTACAAAGATGAGAAAAACATTTGGGGGGGGGGGAAACCTGACTTCTCTGTGGTTTCTGTAAAGCTGTGGCACTTATTTATTGATTGATTTGATTTGTCAATCACTTACAAGATAATAGATATAAGTATAAACATGAGTAAGAATACAGGAAATAGGTACGAATAAATGGGGACAATAGGACAGGGACAGTAGGGTAGGCACGATTGTGCCCTTATGCAACTTCACAGCTTCCCAATGTTCACACACAGAGCAATTTAGACGCATGCAGATTTCATCACGCTACAGTAAATACCGTAAGACTTAACCAAAATCAATCAATCAATGAGACAACTTTCTGAAAGAAAATCCTGTGTAAAATGTTATTGCCCTTAGCGAAAAGTGGAAAGCGGTGGGGGGGGGGAGATGAAACAAGTTTATGAGATTTTCCAGCATCTTAGCCCTGCAATTAGACTGTCAGGGGCCCCCACCCCCACCCCCCACCACAAATATATATATTTATAAGGGCAAATTCCGGCGGAGGGCGTTTTAACCCCGATCTACCCAGATCCCACGTCGCCACTATTCAGCTTAAACAGGCGTGGCTTCGGACTGCTTGGATTCGGGGAACCAGGCGCGAGAGCGCACTTTGCAAGCAACTAGCCCGAGCCCGTGGAAAGCACGCTAAGCGCGCAGTCCCACGACAGGATCGCTGCGCCTCGCTCCCTCTCTCGGGGGAACGAGCCAAAAAGCTCGGCCAGGCAGGAGTCACTTAAGCGTGAAAACCGGAAGCTTTGCGGTTCTTGGCTTATTGGGGTCGGCGCTGCTGTCGTCCTCTGTGTCCGACCCAACTGAAGAGAAGGTGGAGGAGACGAGCACCATGCAACGCAAAGGCGCTGTCCCTTCTCAATGAGTGACCCCGCGGCGTCAGCTCTCTGGCTCCTCCTGCTCAGGCTGATCTTCCCCGTGCCTCCTCTAGAGGCGGCAGGTAGGTTACGGGGGTGAGTGGGGGGAAACGCCGGGGTGGGGTGGGGGGGGGGGTCGCCGGGGCCAGTTTCCTCTTCGCTTTGGGGCTTAAACCCGAAGCGTTGGTCCGCTTCTGCTCGTGGCACGTTTTGCTGAGAGCCACGGGTGCGTTGATAGAGGAAGATGATGATTAATTTTTTTAAAAAGGCATCAATAATGGGTCATAGTTGGGTCTTGGAATCTGCTTTAAATCTATTCTCTGCAATATTAGGAAAGGGATGCCTCTGAATACTTGCAGAGTGGACGAATCACTGGCGTGGGGGTGGGTGGCACTTTTTAAAATGACACTGTTGATACGGTGCACGCCTTAAATAAGCTCAGGGGAAACGTGCAAAGTTTTAACAGGTAGTTAAACCCGATCAGTCAGGTATTCGGCTTAGAAAGGGCTGGGCTGTTTTTCCATGTGAGCTTTCAAATTATCTGTGGTTATTCTTCAAGATTTCTTGCATTGTTGGACAGCTCACTCTTTGGGGGGGCGGCGGGGGGGGGGAGCCAGCCCTGCTGTTGCTTTGAAGTTATTTCTAGGGATGGATGCCTCCTCCACCCTGCAGTTTTCATAGATCTAAGTACCAGCTATTGCAGTGAGGGGTTACATGGTTGCACTAAGACTTGGACCCAAATCTTCATTCAGCAATGAAGCTTCCTGACAGTTTTTGAACAAATTGTTGTCCTAGAGACGGTGAGAAATCCACATATATTAGCTTGATTCTCCGATGCAATTAGGTTGGAAATGCTTTTTAAAAAAGAATGATAAGAATAACTTCATATTACGATGGGCCTATATAAAAATAACTCTGGCAAAGTTACTGTGCATCATTAAAAAGATAAATATACTATGGTTAAAATAAGCTGCACAGAATTCTGCATGGTTTACTGAGTTCTCACAGGCATGTGATCAGGTTATAAGGAACCTGATGACTTAACTTTAATATTGGTTAAATGTAATCACTAACCTCAGTTATGAATCCAGCTGGTTTGGTTATTGTATGGTTTACTATTTTAGGAAAATTCAAAACGTGGTTAATTCTATAACCAGGTTAACAACTATTGTTTGCACAGATTCAGTACAGATAAACACAGATTTGAAACAGAACTTCAGTTTTTTATTTCAGCTATTTAGCTTATTTATCATAAAAAGTTTTATAAGAAAAAAATCTGCAAAAATGGAAAACTTATTTTAAAAAAATAAAGGAAAACAATAACAAACTTTACAAAAAAGGATAAATAAACCAGCTATAGATATCCTAATATATCAAAACATACTTAAACCTATCTAAATTCAAGAAAATAAACTATGACTGTTTAATGTTACAAATTGTTTCAAAATCTGTGTCAAAGGAGAACATATCAAGTCATTTTTATTAGTACAGTAGATATAATTGCCTTTTCAAAGATAGATAAATTACATATCTCTTGAATCTATTCCTTAATATCAGGAATAATACTACCTTTCCAATTTCTCAAAATAATTCTCTTAGCAATTGCCCAGACCTGATATAACTATAACTCCCCCAAAATAATCAGAACTCAAAGTTTTGGAACATAAACATAACATTAACATCTTTAATAAAAATAATCTCCATAAATGTACTTAAGTAGTTAAAATATTATTTTCAAATTTTGTCAGTAATTTACTAAACCAAGTCATATCAGTCAAGTAACTTTAAAATTCAAGTACAGGTAGCCTTCCATTGCCATTGCTAATTGACACAGTTATAAAGTGAATCATCGTGTGACTATGCTCAACTTATGACATCAGTCCCAGCTGCAGTTGTGAATTGAATCAATTATGGTCATTAAGTATGACATCACATGACTGCAACTGGTGACTTCCAACCAGCTTCCCCATTGACTTTGTTTGTTGGAAGCTGATTATGAAAGTCATAAATGGCAGTCATGTGACCACAGGATGCTGTGGCCATAGCAATAGCAATAGCACTTAGACTTATGTACCACTTCACAGTGCTTTACAGCCCTCTCTAAGCAGTTTACAGAGTCAGCATATTGTCAGCAACAATCTGGATCCGCATTTTACCGACTTCAGAAGGATGGAAGGCTGAGTCAACCTTGAGCCTGGTGAGATTCGACTGTGAAATTGCAACCAGCTGGCAGTCAGCAGAAGTAGCCTGCAGTACTGCATTCTAACCAGTTGCCAAGCACCCAATTGTGATCATGTGACTGGACGGGTGTTAAATCTCCTCTTCCAGCACCATTGTAACTGTGAATGGTTGCTGGAAGAGCAACCAATAACCAAGGATGGTCCTTAGTTAATAACCTTAATTGGAACCTCAATGCCACTGCAAAGTGAAGCAGTCATGAAGTGGAACATCATGTGACCACCACTGTGTTTTCCAGCCAGAAGAAATAAGACTACTCAGTTTTATACTTTTCATGTGTTTGGTTGCTTCCTAATCACCCCTCCCCCCACCCTCTACTCTTGGCAATGCTCAAGTGCCTGTTCATTGTTTTGCACACATCAAAAGCAATGTGTTTGCACTGCAGGCCAGGGCTGGGAGCCAAACAGCTTACTTTCACGTGACTGAAGGATGCTGAAAAAGTGGTTAAATTGGCCATAAAGTTATTTTTTTAAATTTCAGTCTGTAATAACTTCAAATGATGGCTGAATAGGGGATTGATAAGTGAGGACTATCTGTTCCAGTAGAGTTCTTCCATAAAGTTAAATATTCAATGAGCCTCATTGTCAAAATCCAACCTGGAAGCAAACAGGCCCATAGAGGCCCAACTCTTTTCTGTCCCAGAAACAAAACACTTTTATACTGTATATCGACCCCAGGAATTGCCAGGACCATAAATAAGAATTTCCCCCCCAAAAATGCCCACTAAACTTGATACTCTACTAAATTTTCAACCACATATTATAGATACAATCAATAAAATATAAGCCCTGTTATCATTTTTAACTTCAATCTATTGAAATTGTGTCCTTATAATTAAAACAAGCTATCCACACTAGCATTAAAAATGGGAATAGATATTATTTTTATGTTACTTATTTGTATTCCACCTTTTTTTTAATTTTACAAATAACACAAAGTGTCAAACATACCCAACACACCTTCATCCTATTTCCTCACAACAACAACCTTAACTACTAGACCAAGCTGTCTATTAAAATTTCAGGATTGCTTTTTGCATGTGAAACTACTATAAGGCAGCAAAAAAGAATCCTGTATTTTTCAACGCCTAAGAAGGGAAATGGAACAACTTCCCTGCAACGAATTCTGGTCCACTCAAGAGTGTTCATTCTGTCAAAGCCCCTCCATCTAATTTGTTTTAATTCCCCCCCAATTTTTTTGTGGGTGTGGGTCATAATCTAATTGTTCATTTGTGTTATTTGTTTTCTTTCCCAATAGCTTCACATTGTCTTTTGCCCAGCCCACGGAATGTCATTTTTATCTCCAGAAACATGAAGAACATTCTGCATTGGTTGCCACCAGAAGGAATAGTGGAGAACAAATTAAATTATAAAGTGAAGTATTTGATGTATGTTGGCTACTGGGTTTTACGCTGTGTATATTGTAAAAGTCAGCTATTTCCATGTGTAAATGCTTCATTCTGCTTGTTTTTGTAACCATAATAGGCTGAAAACTATAAAGGTGGGACTCTATAACCTTGAGGTCCTAAAGGTTAATTTTCAAATTTCTACATCAGAGGTTTATTCAATCTTCCACTGAAAAAAAAATCTCGTCTTCTGCAACTGGCTGCCTGGAAGAGTATTAAGAGGAAAATGGTCATAGCATAGAATTATTGGGTATTTCTACTCATGCCTATTTACTGCTTGCTGAAGCTCTCAATAGAGTATGTTGAAAAATGCAGTACTGGGTGTGAAAAAAACCCACCTGTTTCCCAAGGATAACACTGGATTTTTGAAACACTTCCGAGCCCCTGGAAAATTTGTCCTTACAACTTATTTTTGCTATTTCATCAAAATACTCCTCCTTATTAGTAACTAATTAAGAAATAAATTATTTATTTAAAAGATAGCTGGAAGGGGATTTGTTATGTGATAGTGTTTCACAATAAGGGAACATAAGATAACTTTTTTTTAAATGTACGGCAGGGGGTATCAAACTCAAGGCCTGGGGCCAGATCTGGCCCATGGGGCCACCCTCGAAACAGCGAAGGACCAGCCCGCAGTGTCTTTGCCAGCAAAAATGGAGCTCGGGAGGGCTGCATGTGTCTCCCTGAGCTCCATTTTTGCTGGCAGAGAGTTGCAGGAGGCTGTTGCAGCCAAAAATGGAGCTTGGGAGCCCGTTTTTGCTGGCAGAATGCTCGGGCCACCACAGGTGCCCCCAACACAAATGACGAGCTGGCCACACCAAATCTGGCCACGTCCACCCCAGCCCCCTGAGGACAAAAACAGCCCTGATGCAGCCCTCAATGAAATCGAGTTTGACATCCCTGATGTGTGGGAACATCATAGAATAGTAAGACTCTGCCACACTCCAGGCTGGATTCTAAAAGCGTACTTTGCAACAGGTGTATCATGAATGAAGTAGCCGTAGCAACTCCTTAAAGCAGCCCTGACTTTTCTCAGGATTGTGTAGCAGTTCTACAGTCAGTAGAGGGATCCCAGGGAAAGATATGGCTACTTTAAAGAACTACAGACTCAGCCCACCCAAAACTCATCAGTGGGTAATTCTAGAAGCAGAAATTGTTGTGCTATTTTTGACACAGCCACCCCTGCCACGCCCCAATGCACTTTGGGGAAGAGATTGCCCAAAGGCAGTACTGACATCCCAAAACAGGCATTTAATATTTAAACAACAAAGAAATCTTTCAACACTCTCTCTTGCCTCCCCAGAGTTCAATCCCCATGAAGGATTAATTGTAGAAGTGTTAATTTTGTCTCTTTTTCTTTTACCTTTTGATATTCAGATATGGCACAGATAAGTGGATTAAGTATCCCGAATGTAAGAATATTAATCAGACCTGGTGTGACCTCTCACGTGGAACATACAACCACAAAGAACAATATCATGCCAGAGTGAAAGTCTCTCTAAACGGAAATTGTTCTGTCTGGGCAGAATCACCCAGGTTCAATCCATTTACAGACAGTAAGGACAACTAATATATGTTTCTTCCCCAAACCCCAAAAACTTTAACCTTAGACTGTCTACTATTGACCTCACCCCTTTCCTAAGAGGTCTGTAGGGGGCGTGCATAAGCGCACCAACGTGCCTACCGTCCCTGTCCTATTGTTTCTCTTATTCTTTTATTTTTCTTATATGTAACCATTTCATGTATTCACAACTATGTATACATTTATACTTATTATCTTGTAAACAATTGGCAAATCAAATAAATAAATAAAATAAAAATAAATAAATAAATGTTCATAACAATATTGTGAGATACTGAAAGACAGCCACTGGTGTTAGATATTAGTGGTTTCAACCCATGTCAGTCACCCCTGATTTCGTGCAACAGATACATGTTGGAATATGCAAAATGTATGATTGGCGAAAGAGGAACCGGTCTAAAGACAACTTGAGGGTTCTTCTGTCAAAATAAATGAAAGCAGATGTTGACTAGGAATAAAGACTGGATATGATTCAGTTAAGGTTCAGCTCAGGTTTTTGCTATAATAACTTTTATGTGCACAGCAGTTCAATTACATTCTTTGAAATACAAACTACATATTCCATTAATTGCTGAATTATCAAGAAAACTCCCATTGCTGCAGAAGAAAGCCTCCCTTAAAATGTAAACAGCAGCTCCAGAGTTAAATTTATATTTACCGATAAAAAACTAAAGGGATCTATTTCAAGCTATTTAGCTCTCATCAGCTAGCCATACCCTTCTGGGATTCAAACCAGGCTATAGCCTCAGAGAGGAGGGTTTTTCCCCAATAACATCTAAGGAGAAGCCATGGCAGAATAGTTAAAGTGCTTGTCCCTGACTGCATTATTCTAAGGCTTATGAAATAGGATGCTGTTGCATTTTTGCTATTAGTTAGGGGAAGATATATCTGACTTGCTGAATGCCAGATCATTAAACAGAGAAAGACAGTGATTCAAAACAGATTTTTTATCTTCCTGGATAGAAGATATTAATTTGAGTGTACTGCAAATGGGATCCAATAAAATTCTGGTTCTGGTCTGTTTCTCCAAAGTTGTTGAAGTTGAAAACAGAAGCTCCATGGGAAACGAATGGATGTACACTTCCATTTTCCTCCATGGAATGTCATTGTATTAATCAAAACAATACAGAGATTAAAAATCTCAAAGTCCTTGTTCAATACAACTTGTATCTCTGTCTTATTTAACACAGAGATACATTCTTTGCCTTCTATGCTTGCATGCACCCATAACAATCCTTGCGTATAATAGCAATGTCTCTTAGCATGCATCCTAGAACAGAGAAAGGGCTAAACTAAAGTCTACCGTGTTGTTTCAGAACCTTATTTTTATTCTAGAATATACTTATGAATAAAGGCAAATATATGTGGCCCAGGATAATGTTGCATGATCCATCTGGGTCAGTCACTGGGAACAGAGGGCTAGTCTTCTGAGCTTTTGGATTGGTGCTGGAGCCCATCTTCAGGGAACTCCATTCTGGTGAGAAGACTAAACTTCTGGTCCAGATTGGATCCCGCTAGAATATACATCGTCAGATAAAAACCAGTGTCCATGGGACGGCTTAGAATGAATAGAAGTGCAATAGCATTCAAGAGCACGTGTCTTACTGCTTCTGAATATAGAAATAATGTTGCTTGTGTACAGAACAAGTATTTTATTGATCAGACTGTGCTTAGAACTAAACTCATTGCCCTGAATTTTGAAGGCATGCTTCCTGATAGCCCAAGATTCATAAAGTTTTTTTTTTACAGCTTCTAAAGATATTTATTGCAATATGTAGATTCAGTGAGAAGCCCGGACTAGTCTAGTAGCTTCATTTTCTCTCTTTGATCAAAAAAAAAAATCCTCATGTTTCATCAGGAACTGCTCTTGAATCACCCCACAATTTCAAAGCCAGGTTGGCCATATGGTATGCATTTAACAGCAAATTAATTATGAAAATGTATAAATGCCTTTTGACTCATAGAGAAGCTTTGTTTTTAGATCCTGCTCAATACACTGAATTTTCTAAATACATTCAAATTAACGACACAATTGAAGGGAAGTTATTAAAACTTTTCTTATGTAAGTCAGCCTATCCAACTTGGTTACCTCTCTGGTTGTGTCAGACCCTTAAGTTTCCTCTCGTCATGATGGATGCTGATTTGGAAGGATGATCAATGCAATGAAACAATTTGGAGAGGTACCAGTTAGAGTAGGCAAGCCTAAACATGTGTTACTGAAAAGTTCAAGGTAAAAAATAAACCAGATAGACCAACAAGGAAATTCTGTCTCAGTTGGTTTTGATCGTGTTCTTATTGAGGGGGTCCTTGGTGCTTTCTGAGCTTGCTTGTTTTTTTGCAGATGTTTCATTACCCAAACTAGATAACAACATCACTGATAGGTAATATCATCATCAGTAGCACTGAGGATGTTACCTAGTATGTGAGTAATGAAACGTCTGCAAGAAAGCAACCAAGCTCAGAGAGCACCAACAGCCCCACATTTCAACCCTGAGCTACAAATATCCTCCTTTATTGTGTTCTTATTCTTATAATGATATATGTTTGCTTTTCAGCGACTATTGATCCACCCACATTTGCCCTCTCATCCACTGAGACTTCTATTTCAGTCACCATGGTTCCCCCTGAGAAATGGAAGAGAAATCCCAAGGAGGAACCCGTATATTTGCATGAAATATACTCGGGCCTACAATATAACGTGTCAGTATTCAACAAAAACATAAATAAAAGAGTAAGTTTGAACTTGGAAATGGAAACCATTGCTCGGCAATTTGGACTGGATTGTGCTACAGGCTAAATCGAAGTGATGTTCTCCTGGCTCGTGACGATGTAGATCGGTGTAGCTCAAGCTCAGTGATTTTAAGATGCCAACTCCACCCATAGTAAAGGTGCTGGGATTGAGAAACACTGATGTAGATGGACAAAGATAAGATCCAAGTATGTCTTCAGGGACAATAACTGTAGATGTAGCGAGAACCTAACTGTGCCTGATGTCTGGGTTTGTAGATGTTCGCAGTTTAATGTTTGTTTTTTTATATGCACGTCTGTAGTTAGGAAATCTGCAATCTGGAGCAGAAGATTATATGTGAGGAGGAAACTGCCCCGTGTTGGAAGGTGTTCTTGTTTTCAAAATCTGTTTTCTTTCCCAAGCTCCCCCTCCTCCCCTGTTTGAGGAGTTGCCAATGTATATGAATTCCTGGAAAAGAAAGATGCACCTGGAACTCCAGGGCAGGTTGCCAGGTCAAATCAATGCTTATCCTCCATCTAATTACCTTAAATATGGCGTAATATATATATGAAATAGATGAACATATACTTCTCACTAAGGATTCTTGTGGCTTCAGAAACTGCTAGAAATTGAACTGATACTTTTTGCCCTTCTAGTCAAGTGCATTGAGACTTTGCCTGCTTGAAATAGTTTTCCCTACCCTGTTTCTTCACTTTTCTTTGCCTGACTCTCTCTCAAGCATGTGTATGAGAGGAAGAGGAGGGGAAAACATAGAGATGTAGAGAGTGGATACTCCCATCGCACCAAGTCAAAATGGAATCAGATGATGTGACAAATGTGGTATACTCAATGATGGCATTGGTAAAGAAAGAATAGGTTAACGCAGCACATTAGGGAGGATGGAGATTTTCCCCAAGGATTAGCAGAGGAAATTTATGGTCAAATTTATGGTGATGTCATAAGAAGGAGGTAACATGATAGAAAGGGAAAGTAACAGGGACAGGGTTTTTTTCCCAACAAGCTTTGGGGTTTGTAGTTGCTATAATATTTCACTATAGGCTGAAAATCCAATTTGTTTGCTGCCCAGATATAGCATTTGCTTCCACTTCTACCTTTATTTTTGTGAATAAAAATAATTACTAAATATTACATCATTGGAAATTGAACATTTTGCCACCAATTTCAGCAGCACAATTGAGGGCTTAGGGAGGATGGATACAGATTTGCCCAACTCTATGCCATATGAACACAGCCAGACCACAAGAGAGCACTATGAACATTTTAGAGTGTCCTCAACCTGATTATATGTGACCAACCATACCTCACAACAGTTGTATTGTAACTGTTCCCATATCCCTTTTTTTATATCCCAAATGTGCCCTCAGAAGATTGGGAACTGTTAACCAGCTAATGACTTGTTTGCAACTTTTGTTTGTTTGTGCCATATCTAACACAGCTTGCACATTTATAGTAGGTTGTAAAAATAATAAGTCTTTCACTTTTATAGCTATATCACAACATAGCATAAGTGCTATCATATCAAATCAGAAGTTAACTTATTATGTTCAAATTTCAAGCATCTGTTGCCTGCACAAAGCTCTGGCTAATATATTATTGAAGACGAAAGATTCATTTTTAAAACAACCTTTTATTTTTGAGGAAGTACTCTACGTGACATCTTATTGCATGATCTACTTGTTATGCAATGCTTTTAGCTATACTTTTCAAATCCAAATATATGTCATGTTTTCTGCTTTCATATGAGACTATAGAGAAGTTTTCAGAAAGAGCTTTTCATCTGGGTTTTTTTGTTGTTGTTGTTCAGTAGGTCTTAATATAGTTAAGTTTAAAATGTAAAAAGATTTTCCTTCCTCCTTCCTTCCTTTAGTGGATATTTTGCATTCAAAACAATCGATTGGAGGTGCAGCAGTTACAGCCAAATACGATATACTGTGTCACCGTACAAATATATATTACTCCACTTCTGTTTAGTGAATTATCTGAAGAACACTGCATTGCTACCCTAAAAGGTAAGCAAAGGAGCACAAAATACACCAAACTTCTGTGTTTCATCAATACTATGAATAGATTAAAGTTGTTGAGGAAGAATTCCACATAGGTTTCTAGTTCTCTTGAAAATTCTTCAGAATAATCTTTTGGCTTTATAAAAGACATTTCCTGTGTTATATCTGTTATATCTGCCACTATGGGAAAACTTCTCATTCAATTTCTATGTCATCACAATTGTTTTGTGTTTTTTTAGCTGTCAACATTTTTATTGAATTATAAAGTATTATAAAATACAAAATACAAAGTAAATAGAAGAGCACTGGGAAGGGGGAAGGAAAGGAGAAGTGGGGGATAAGATAAGAAAAAAAAGAAAAAGAAGCATTGACTTCTATTTCTCTCTGTTACAGTAAAATAAGGCATTAACATCAAATCACAACTTCTTGCTTTTTCATAATAATATGAACAAGTCATTTCTATAAAGATCTATGTCTAATCAGTAAAGCCCAAAGTCAGAGTTTCCTTTTTTTTCCACATCAAGCATGAAGTTCAGAAGTGGTTTCCATGTGAAAACAAAAGTACTTATGTTCTTTTCTTTAATCAGAGTAGTCAGTTTTGCCATTTCAGCCAATTCCATCAACTTCTGCAACTATTCGTCCATAGTAGGAATCAAAGTGTTCTTCCATTTTTGTGCATACAATAGTCTTGCTGCAGTCAACATATATAATAACAAAATTCCAAAAAAAAAAAAAATTCCAATTCTTTTTCCATTTAGCCCAAGAGAAAAAGTCCTGGTTTCATTTTTTTTTTTTTTTTGGAAAGAGCAAACAAGATCTATCATAGTTGACCTTAGGTTTCCATTTGAGTCTCCTGATGGATAGAAAATGCAATATTACAATGTTCCACTAATATGGCCTCTGCTAGTTACTCTTACAAAAATAGACCTGTTTTTACCACTCCTTTTCAGCTCTGCAATACTAAGTAGTTGCATTTTTGCTTTGATGGGATTCTGAAGAGCATAATTTAAAATCTTTTATTAGAAACAAGCAAGTCAGCAAGTCAGCCCTTTTTAGTCATTATTAATTGCCTATGTATTCCTAATAAATGCAGATAAATTAGGCGAAGAAAGAAACTGCTGGCAGGGAAATCAATAACTTACTCTGGATGAACAGCCTAAATAAAGAACTTAAAAGAACATAACCCAGCTGTTACACAAGCAAGAAGTTATAAAAGAGACTTTATTTTAATGCTTGCTAACATGCAATATATTTTGAAAAATAATATATTTCATAAGCATGCTGGCTGCTATGTGGGCATATGTTGAAGGCAAAACTGTCGAAATTCTCTACAGAAGCTAAAGGCCAATTTTCAGTTCTGAATAACACTCTAATCTAATTAGATTTTATAGTAGAAATTAGAAAGTGTTCAAAATATGTTAAACTTCCAAATAGCTATAAAATATTATGCATATTTTCTAGCTAATGTACAAGTAGTCCTCAACTTATGACAATTGGGACCCAGTGGTGGGATTCAATTTTATTTTACTAATGGTTCTGTGGGCACGGCTTGGTGGGTGTGGCTTGTTGGGCGTGGCAGGGGAAGGTTATACTGCAAAATCCCCATTCTCTCCCCACCCCACTAACCTGCTTTCCAGCTCCATTCTCCTGTGCAGGGCAACAAAAGAAGACCCAGCCAATCAGCTGGGACTCGGGAGGCAGAGAATAGATGGGGATGGGAGCCAGTCAGAGGTGGTATTTGCCGGTTCTCTGAACTACTCAAAATTTCTGCTACCATTTCTCCAGAACTGGTCAGAACCTGCTGAATATCACCTCTGCTCCCCACCCCACTAACCTGCTTTCCAGCTCCATTCTCCTGTGCAGGGCAACAAAAAAAGAGCCAGCCAATCCACTGAGACTCGGGAAGCAGAGAATAGATGGGGGCGGGGCCAGTCAGAGGTGGTATTTGCCGGTTCTCCGAACTACTCAAAATTTCCACTACCAGTTCTCCAGAACTGGTCAGAACCTGCTGAATGCCACCTCTGTTGGGACAAGAACAAAACAAGTTGTTAAAGTCAGCTGCACCTGATTTTACAACCTTTTTTGACCCAGTTGTTAAGTGAATCACTGCAGTTTTTAAGTGAATCACCTGGTTGTTGAGAGAATCTGTCTTCTTCCAGCTTGTCAGAAGCAGGCTGGGAAGATCACAAATGGCATTTAGGTGCCCTGGGTTGCTGCAACCATTGTAAATATATGCCAGTTGCCAAATGCCCAAATTTTGATCATGTAGCCTCGGGGATACTGTGATGGTTGTAAGTGAGAGGACTGTTTTTTTCAGTGCAACTGTAACTTCAAACACTCACAAAATGAATGGATTGTACGTTGAGGACTAGCTGCAGAATGCATGTTTTTGCACTTTCAAATGGGGCTGCTTATCTTGAGAAAGTCAGCTATCAATTGTTAATGCTTTTGCCTACTGGCCCTTTGAAAAAATGTAAAACATCTAAGCTATGTTTTCCCAGCAGATCCAGATTTCAAGCAAACCGCAACAGTCATATTTGGGTATACTTTACCAGGCCTGTTATTAGTCCTGATTATTTTGGTGTCAAGCTGCTGTCTATATCGATACACTCATCTCGTGAAGCAAACGTACCCCAAGAATTTGGTAAGGATTCTTTGCCATATTTGAAATATATAGTGCTGTAATTTTTAAGGCAATGTGCAATGAAGCCTAGTTTATACTGATAAAAAATATTACTTGGGGGGAAAATGCTCTTTAGCTGCAACAATGGTGGACATTAAATGCAGATAACTATTCCTGGAAATTTCTAGTGTTGCAATTTCTCACATGCCTTGATAGAAATGGATGGACAACCAAAAGAATTAGCAGCTGTATAGAAGTCAATTTTGCATTTCTTTTCCCTGGGTCAGTTTACATAAGATAGTTCAGATGAAGAATTGTATCTCCTGACAGGTACTGAAAAAGTAAACCACATCAGGGAGTGGTTGCCCAAAACTCCTTTTCTTAAAATAGCGATTGCCAGATAGAGGTGATATTTTTGGTAGTAAGTTGTCACTTTTTCACCTGTGCAACTATTTGGAAGGGCTCAAAGTGCTTTACATGATTATGGAAGATCTCTACAAATGACTTACAGAATCTCAGAGAGCACTGTGCCAAATCAGTAACAAGTTTTACCCACAGTGATGGCTGAATGACATTAGAAGATGTCTCAAAGGTGCTTTTTCCAAGAGGCAACTTGATTTTCTTGGTTTTTTTTCCTTGAAAACATTTGCTTCTCATCCAAGAAGCTTCTTCGGTTCTAACTTGACTGGTGGAAGGATTTATACTCTTTGCAGTCATCTGGTCAGCAGCACTCTGAGAATTGTTGAGGCCACTTGGGAGTTTATCTGTATCCTCAGAGTCTCTTGAAACAGACACCACCTATCTCCTGTTTACAACACCATCCTTTCAGCAGCCCCAAGAAGGTTCCACGTCCATTTTCACTCTGATTCAAGTGACTCTGAGAAAACCCCCAAATGGCCTCAATGACTTTCAGAGTCCTGATGTGCTGCTCTTTAAGAACAGCCTTGCCAGCTGCTATGCCATCAAAAGACAGAGAATGTCCTTAGAGTAAGACTTAATACAGTGCATTAAGCAACAAACATGACTTAATACCATATGGGAACCTGGCCTGGACTCATCTGGGAGCCTACTCTTCAATCTCGCAGTGCTTACTGTCTCTTCAGAATCTTAAGAGAATAGAATTCCACAGTATTGCAGTCTTTAAGGGTAGCTATAGAATGAACTAATATTTTGTAAAGACATTTTGGTTTTTTCCCCCTGAGTTTTACACACAGTATTCAATGTTTTACAAGTATTTTAAAATACATATATCAATCATGTATGCATTTTGGGTAACTGGATTTTAAATTTATTTTTATTATCTTTATTTGGCTTGCTAACTGTCCACAGGTTGAAGCATAAACAATTTTCAGTCCAAGTATCTACTAATGTATTACATTACTTGTGTACACACATTGCACTAAGACATAATTTGGTTTTCCTGTTTTTAACTTGGCAATACCATATGGGTATTTTAACTTGATAATATTGGTTAACCCTTTGTACAATGAACCATGATTAAAACAAGCCATGGCTCAATGTAATGTATAAAGCCATCATTAATAAATCATGAGTGAAATTGTTTTCTTTTTAAACTGCTTGTCATGACACATACATACTGTATATTGTGGGCTAGGCTGAACAGCAAAGATAAGTTATTGCTAAAAAAATTACAGCAGTAGACAAGTGAATTAAGTATATGTCAAAGAAAGAAAGGAGGAAATATTAACTATAATAACTTGGTAGAAAGGAAAAATTATAGAGAAGAAATTTAAAAAATAATGAAGCAGAAATCCCAGAAAAAAAGATAAGAGGTAAATGAGCGAGGAAATGGTAGCTATAGATTAAAAACTATTTCTAATTATTAGAGAAAGTGTGAAACTGTGGATGCCAACCAGCAATATTTCTCTTAGCTACCAATCTTCCATTCCTTACTCAGTATTGTAGGCCTTATAGTTATCAAAGGAATGTTATCAAGGAAATATACAATTATGTCACAAGCATATTCCACCAGATTTACTCAATATTTAACAGATAGGGCCGTTTTTTTTCTAAAGTTTTGCCTTTTTTTCCCCAGATCTTGAAATATAGTCAAAGCTGTGGAAGAGATAATTTTGTTCCTTCTGAAAAAATAGTGGTTAACTTCATTACAGTTAATGTTGTAGAAGAACATAAATCCTTTCCGGAGAACCGTCAGCGGAAAATCGGCAATGGCTACATCAATGCTGAGACTGGTGAGGGAAGCTGTATAGAAGAGAAAGCTTCGAAAAAAGTTCTGGGAAACAATAATTTCTTAGAAAGGGACAATGTACTAAAAAATGAACAAAACAGAAGCAAAGCAACACTGGCAGAGTTGGAAACGCCCCAGGCTTTAGAACAGACACACAATGATGAGGTGGTGGCATATGAATTTGACTTGAGGGCTGAACAGATGACTCCAGTTCAGGAGAAACAACAAATGTGTAGCTGTATTTGTGAACCAGATTGTGCACTGCACAATTCACAAGTAATGACGTCAGAGTTGCCCATCTATGGAACAAAGCAGGACTATTGCCCCCAGTTTGGCGCACGAGATCCAAATACCTCTTTCAGGCAACAGTTAAAAGAAGTCCTTCTGAATGAAAGGAAATCTGCTTCTTTACAATTATATGATGCTGAAGTCCCTCTGATAAATTTGATGGCTGATGAGCCCAACCGAGCCTTCTGTTCTGAGTGTGATGTTATAGCAGACATTTGTTTGGTGCCTGATCCAAAAGAGCCCTTTTTGGATGAAAAAGAAGGTGCGCTCAAAGAGCCACACACTTTACTATCTCTACTAACTCAAAAGACAACTTCAAAATATCACCAGACTGGAAGAAGGACCAAGGAAAACCAGGAAACAAGGATGGAAGAAGAACAGAACAAAACAGTTGATTGGAATCCCTGGTCTGGGAGGATGTATTTGTCCCCGTTACTTAATATAACAAAAGAAGATAAAATTGACCCAAAAAATTATGAAGAATCCCTGGAAGAAGCACTTCTCTTCAGGCTTTATGAGAACCACTGTTCTGAAGACTTAATAGGAAGATATGAGAATATGTATCTCCTCCAACTCAAAGAACATTGGGGACTACATATAGAAATGCAAACTTAATCTGTCTTTCATTTCACGATTTACTAACTCAGTCCCATGACTATCAACAAAGTCATGGGTTCAGCCCTCAGCTTTAACCAAAGGATCTTCTTCCAGTCAGTGGAGACTTTCCTTATGCAATGATCTGGTTGACCCAAACCTCAAGGGCTTCTTCTAGACATTTGCAGATAAGGAATACTGCATAATAGCTAAAAGTTGGTGATAAGTAAAGATCCTTTGGCTATCTTCATATCATTAGACTTCAGCAATTCAATATATCTAAAATATTTTTTGAAGAAGACAGACTTGAGTTGTATTGGTTTGCTTTAAATAAGACTGCCCATACAGTGCAGAAAAAATGGTTTGGTTTGAATGGTATGATAAGATGAACTGGCTATTGTAATTAAAACAAAAACATAAAATATTAGAGGGAATAATTCAGTATAGAGAATTAATAGCACCAGGGATTAAGATAGGTAGTCATTGACTTACAACTGCTTGTTTAATGACAGTTTAAAGCTATGACGATCTCAGAAAAACTGACTTAAGATTTCTCCTCGAAGTTACAACCACTGTGCCACCCTCATGGTCACATGACCACAACATGGCTACACTTGGCAACTGGCTTGGATTTACAATTGCAGTATCTTGTGGTCACAAGAATGAGATTTGTGACTTTCCCAGCCAGTTTCCAACAAGCAAAGTCAATTGGGTAGATAGGATTCACTTAACAACCACATGATTTACTTAATAACCATGGTGATTTGTTTAACAATCTAATGGTTGTAAAATTGGGTCTGGTTTAGACATAAATTCCAATCCCAATTGTGGTAATAAGTCAAGAACTACCCATATATGTTTTATTGGCCATTAAGCTGTCAGTTAAGTTGGCCATATGATTTCACTATCTGAAGTGCCATGCTTCTGAATTCAAATAGCAATAGCACTTAGACTTATATATGCTTTATAGTGCTTTACAGTCAGTGGTGGGATGCTTCCAGTTTAACAACTGGTTTGATGAACGTGCGTGCACAAGCGTGAAGCACGCCATGTGGGCAGGTTTTAAAATTACTTATCTTCTAAGTTACTTCTGGGGAGTAACACAGCTGAGATATGGCAATCTGCCATGTGAATCAACTGAGAGGATATAGGTAAGTACAGCGCAGGGGTGGGGGGGTGGGCAAGCCAACTTGATCATTGGAGAGAACCGGTTCGCTTAACAGCTGATCAGAGCTAGAGGTTTGCCCGAACCGGTCCGAACCAGGAGAATCCCATCCCTGTTTACAGCCCTCTCTAAGCGTCAGCATATTGCCCCCAACAATCTGGGTCCTCATTTTACCGACCTCGTAAGGATGGAAGGCTGAGTCAACCTTGAGCCTGGTGGGATTTGAACTGCCAAATTGCAGGCAGCCGGTAGTCAGCAGAAGTGGTCTGCAGTACAGCACTCTAATTGTTGCACCACTAAGGCAAAGAGGATGCTACTGTAATCATGTCTTGCTTGATGGCTTCCTAGTAGGATTCAATAGGCTGCTCTTCTGACAAAGTGCTCTAAAACATGGATGTCAAACTCACGGGATCATGTTGCCATCACGTGACGTTTCTCAACCTTTTTTTCCCTTCGCAGAGCTGGGATGGGCGTGGCCTGTGCATGACACATTTGGCCCACGGGTCACCATTTGACTCCCCTCTTCTAAACTCTTAAGAGTTGATAAACATCTTTGGAATGTTGGGAGATCATTCTGAATACAGTCACAAATGTACTATTATGGTATATATTATTATGGTATTGACCAATCATAAAAAATGCCTATTTACAAACAGTTGTCTTTACTCATTCCAAACTCCCCAAATGCTCGCTACTTTTTCTTTCTTATCCCTTTCTTCTGGTCAGATGGGGACACAATCAAGTCAGCTGGACTGCAGCTTCTGAGAAGTTTTTCTAGGAATGCCTGTGAAATATATTGTGGGATCTGAAAGCAATAAAATATATATGTTTGAGGATGGTGCTTGACTTCGCTAGCTTCCCATTTAATTGTTTTAATTAAAATATTTTAAAAATCAATATCGCATAGGGAGAAGTGTCCAAGTATCCCATGGCACTTGTAGGCACCATAGTGCAGATGTTATAACAGCAGTTCTGTGTATCTTCCATTTTTTTTCTTAAGTCAGTGAGATTTCTCTAAACACAACTTAGACTCTCAAAGGAGAATTAGATGTCCACTTGGTATAACCCTGGCAAATATAAGTTTCATGCTACATCGTAGGATCCTTATATGTAAATGAAAGAATTAATTCTTTTACTGGCTCATATACCTATTTCTTGTATTCTTGTATTGAGAAATTTTGGAAGTATTCTTTTCCAGGATAAATTAATGGATGCTATCAATATTAGTAGTCTTGATGACTGTTACCTACAGCAAACTTCACTGTTGTCAACATATGAAAATGTCACCATTGCATACTTGCATCCTGATACTTGACAAAAAATGTAAGTCAAGTTGTTATTGTCACACACAATAACATAATTGGCCCCCTACAGATGCCTATGATCACAGATACTGTACTTTGAATGCCAGCTGCTCAGAAATAAACTTTTTTTTAAATGTATGTCAGATTCCTGAATGCATCTTATGTAGAAAATGCAACCTTGGCCCCTTGATCTGATCCAACAAAGTGGTTGTAGCCTTTCAGCTTTCAGACAAAACCCTTAAACTCTGGCTGGCCGGAATATTCAAAAGCATACCTTCAGCTAAGAGTTTGTCTTTGCTCAGTTCTTTTACCCCTTCTTCCTGACCACAGTAAAATTTTCTAGGCTGTTTTAGATTGCATGCCCAATCCCTTCTCTGTTCCTCTGTGAAGTTTTTGGTGTTGTCTGAGCAAATGTTTCATTAGCCAACTGCTTAACATCATGAATGCAAGTGAGTGTGGCACTTGCTGTCAGTTTATATTCAGTTGTTTTGCCAATTTTGGTGGGGTATAATTTCCTCCTTGGTACTTCCTTGATTAGTATATTGTTTTCTGTCTGTCTGGTTGTTTGACTGGTGATGACCCCTGCTTATCTGAATATGAGCTCTTGGAAGGGATGTGATATATAGTCCACCCCTTTTTGCTAGTTTCCAATAGCCTC